CCGCAGACGCCCATGGCGGCAGTACGGTTTCTTCAGATCGCTTCAATGTCGAAATTTTCAATGCCAGAGTCGCTCGACTGTTGTGCTCGATACGTCTAAAGATTTTTTAAAATTCTTTTTACAGCGCCGTATGCCAAAACCGCAAGGCTGCTCCTCGCTATGGCGATCCCCGGTCAACTGATCTTCGTTTTCATCGCCGACACATTAAACCCGGGCGATTGCAAGTTGCATGCTTACTTCGTAATCTCTTACGTAGTTGTTTCCTTAGTACAGGTAAGTCCGCGCAATTACAAATCGTTGTTCGTTCCGTTTTTTTTCGAAGCGCACGAACGGCGCTACAACGAGAATTTATTTTTTTCTTCCTCTTCAGGTGATGATCCTGTTGTACGTCGCGCACATAATCATTCACGTGATGTGGAGGTACAAAATCGATCCCGACAACTCGGCGATCCCGTACTTGACGGCACTGGGTGATCTCAGCGGATCGCTGCTCCTTGCGTTGGCTTTCTTCTTCATATACTCGTTAAATAGACCGTACTGCGTCGGCGGACCGTAGGTGAAGAGAAACGTAAATCTGAGACGGAGCGTTAAAGTCAACGCACATGTACTGCAAACGCGCACGCACTCGCACAACGGCGCGGTAAAGGACTTTTAACAATCCCTGATTTTTTTTTTCTCATTGCGGGACAGCAAAGAGGATTGGGTGTCTTGCGCTGTCAAAACAATTTCCAGCGCCTTGCCTCGTGGCGTTATATAACTCGCGAGATGACTCGCGAAACCCGAGAATGATGACGAAATGAGCGCCAAGAAGCCGAGGTATATATAATGAGGGTAATACTCAGTTCACAAATATATACATTTGTTAACGATACAATTCCGAAACGACAGTTTGTTAGTAATCTGTTTCTGGTATAAGCATGTGAAAAACCGGCTGTGAACTACAAGTGTGATGACCTGCGCGGGCGGCAGCACATGATGGTTAGCAGTTATCTATAGTCACGTCATATTTCACGTTTTTTTTCCACAAAACGTGGCACGTGTCCACGAGCCTCATTGCGAATCAATAGGTGCCTAGTCAATTAAGTAGCAAACAATATACGTATGCTCGAAAACTGTCTGAAAGATGTTTCAATACGGAGAACCGTCGGTCATTCTAGCGGTCCATCCGCGGAAACGTACGTCTTTCAGCGTTTTAGAAGATTTTGTAAATATAATTGCATCGTCTTGACGAAGAATTCTCGTCGCGACACGAGATGAGCTGGCAGTATCGCGACTTGTATTCTAACTTGAAGCGATAGCGACACGTTTTAACTGTAAGCGCGATATAGCGGTCGTATAATTTATAAAAATTGTGGCCGCGAAGAAAAACCGGAGGTATACGAGCAAAGCGAGCGAGAGCCGAGTGCCTGTAGGAGTTCTTGCATTTTTTTTCCCCTTCTTCATCTCGGAAGTCGCAAGACAGGAATTCCGAAGCGTTCTCGTACTGCCAACGACGGAGCGAACGGAGCACCATTTATAATTGCGCAATCGCATGCACAATTGCGGCGCAATTGCGACTCAATTAAAGCGGCGGCGTTTTCAGCGACATATTATTAAAGTAAGCGTTGATTGCCGCTCCTCGCCCTCCACCACCCTCTCCACAGCCTTACACGTATATACACCTTATTTAATTACGCAACGCGGTCCCCGGAACACGCCTTACGTAATACTCAGACAATACCGAGTAAATCTGCGTCGATTATTTGTCTTTTGAAGATATAAGAAAATTCACATTTCGAGCGTTTAAACTCTCAGCACGTTGAACATCATGACGAAGATACTATGAAAGTACTCCAAATAGCGCTGACAAAATTTTTATCAAAATTATATTCTAATATTTTTTTGTTATTTCATTCAGGAGTTTAATAGGTCTTTCTTAAGAAGATTTAAAACATAGTACTAGCAAACTTGTCGCACGCAAAACTGGCACTGTGCAGCCGAAGTTCAACGTGCGGAAAACTGTTCTATAGGAAAGCTAAAATCGTTTACGAAGAATCATTCGAAGCGTTTATGCAGATTTTTAGGAACAAATTATTTTGAAACGCAAATGTATTCGTATATGAAATATTTAAATATATTTTTATGTATATTTTACTCGTGTTTTAAGTAATTTTAATCATTGCAACGCTCAATCAGAAACATTAACATTTACTAATAAACATAAATCTTTCATTTATAAAATCTCACATTATATTATTTTGCTTTTCCTACATATTAAAGCAATCAACCAATCAATACATACAGATAGTACATAAGATTGAGTTAAAATTGATGCTTTTTTAACTTTTTTAAGTTTTTATCAAGTAATTTGTTTCTATTTATCTCAAGTAATTAAATACAAAGTAATTTAATATCACAATAATTAACATTTATGTTATAATAGAATCTCTTCTTTTACTAAAGATTTGACGTAGTTATCGAAATCGTTAAGAATCTTGTCTGATTCAAGATACGTTTTTTCTAAGTTTTTATTATTTTTATAAATTAAAACTTACTTTTTACCATAAACTTTTTATTCTCCTTCTCCTTAACAAGAAACAAAGACTTAGATTGCATGCCAGTCTTAATATCGATGAAATATTTAACGTAAATTACAAAATAAACTTTAAACAATCCATTTGCTACATTTTGGATATTTTTTGATTAAGGAACTATATTTTCTAATTTGTTTTGTAAACTCGTCCAATTGTAAGGTATAAGATATATTTTATTTGATCTCGTTGTTTTGCGTTATCGAATCTCAAAATTATATATTTAAAATGATAAAAAAATTGAGGCAGATTTCAAGATATATCCGAATTTAAGCGTCATTCGATATAATCTCAATTCTAAGATAACATAAAATCCAGTTAATTAAGAAATTGTTACGATTTTGTTGAAAAGTCTAAAAATTTTGCTAAAAATAGATATGAAAATAATTTTTTGTTGAATCATCAAAATAATTTGTTAGAATGTTAAAACTGCTAAGCATTGCTATAAAACGTTTTAATATTCTAGCAATCATTTTGACTTTCGCACAAAATTATTTTGACTACTGAA